TGTAAGCAAACACATACAACATTCTCTAAACACACCCTCTCTACAACCCATACACACACACTATGTCACCTATACACACACACTTCTGCCCGTATGTACACACTCGCTACATCCCCTATAACACTATGCCCCTATACACGCACTCTCTACAGCCCCTAGCCACACATATTACACCACAAAATTGACCTATTTACACAATACCACACCACACTCTACACACACAGGCAATCCCACAAGCATGCGCCAAACACATGCACCAAACACTTTCCTTGCCCTTTTATCCTCTGGTATCCCACTTGTGGAGACACCAGAGACAATTTAAAAGCAAACACAGCGCAAGCATGTTATTACATTTGCTTGTGCTGCGCAGAACAAATGCAGGGCCTTTTTCTAATGCTAGAGCTCTTCAGCGGAGCTCTGCGCATTGAACCAACATGCTCACTTTCAGAAGGGGCGTACTTGTCATTAGTGATGACAAAACACACCCTCTCTGGCCCCGCCCCCTTCTTGGGGGCCGCTCTAATTGAAAAATGCCCAGGCCTAATTTTTTTCCCAGTCCGGCCCTGCTCGTCTCTGCACTTTTTATAGTGCCATGATATCCTTCTTTAGAACAGGTGCCCAAAATTGCACAGCATATTCAAGGTGTGGTCTTACCAGCGATTTATAAAGAGGCAAAATTATATTTTCATCCCGCGAATTTATGCCCCTTTTTTTACATGACAAAACCTTACTGGCCTTAGCAACTGCAGACTGACATTGCATATTGCTGCCTAATTTGTTGTCTACAACAATTCCCAAATCCTTCTCGTGTGTGGTTATCCCTAATTCACTACCATTTAGGGTGTATGTTGCTTGTGCATTCTTGACCCCGAAGTGCATAACTTTGCATTTCTCTACATTAAATTTCATCTGCCATTTTAGTGGCCAGTCCCCCAATCTATCTAAATCCCTCTGCAGCAAAGCAATATCCTGCTCACATTTAATTACTTTACAAAGTTTTGTGTCATCTGCAAACACTAAAACATGGCTTTTTAATGCCTATTTTAAGATCATTTATAAATATGTTAAATAGAAGCGGTCCCACAACAGAACCCTGAGGGACACCACTTACCACTTTTGTCCAGCTTGAACATTTACCATTAAAGGATCACTATAGGGTCACGAACACAAACATGTATTCCTGACCCTATCATTGGCGGATCCAGGGAGGGGGCAACGGGGCAATTGCCCCCCCCCCCCCGAGATTCTCCCCTGCCAGCTAGGACAATGCCAGCCCTGCACAAGTGCCAGCCCTGCAATGTACTTGCGGACCGGGGAGGGAGATCATCTCCCTCCCCGGTCCGCAGGCACATTGCTGACAGCCGGCAGGGGAGGGAGAGAGGACTCAGTCTGCAGCTCCTCCGGGTCCTCCTCTCGCAAAATTTGGAGCGTTGCCGTGGTTACCACGGCAACGCTCCAAATCTAGCGAGAGTGAAGTCTAGCCCTGGAGCGCGGGCTAGACTTCACTCCACACTGGAACCACCAGGGAATCCCACTGGGACCACCAGGGATGGAGAAATGTCCCCCCTCCTCCTCAATAAAGGTAAGAAGGGAGGGGGGACATAAATATATTTATTTTATTAAATACATTTTTTACCCTACCCTCCTTCCTCCCCCATACACACATACACTGCCCCCCATACACACACACACTGCCCCCCATACACACATACACTGCCCCCCATACACACATACACTCCCCCCAATACACATACACTCCCCCCAATACACATACACTGCCCCCCATACACACACACTGCCCCCACACGTACACTGCCCCCCATATATACACTGCCCCCATACACACACTGCCTGGATCCGCCACTGGACCCTATAGTGTTAAAACCACCATCTAGACCCCCTATTCCTCCATAAATATAGCAAATTCTTACTGTATTCAAGCCTGAAGCTGTAGCTCTGCATGCTGTTTGCCTAAAAAAAACAAAAACAAGCAGTCTGCTGACATCATCAGAAGTGGTAGCCTGATCCAATCACAATGCTTCCCCATAGGATTAGCTGGGACTGACAAAGAGGCAGATCAGAGGCAGAGCCAGCACAATTCAAACACGGCCAATCAGCATCTCCTCATATAGATGAATTGAATCAATGTATCTCTATGAGGAAAGTTCAGTGTCTGCATGCAGAGGGTGGAGACACTGAATGTTTGGATGCATTTTAGGCAGCCATGACCCAGGAAGGATCTCTCACAGCCATCTGAGGAGTGGCCAGTGGAGTTATCACGAGGCTGTAATGTAAACACTGCATTTTCTCTGAAAAGACAGTGTTTACAGCAAAAAGCCGGAAAGGTAATTATTCTACTCATCAGAACAAATTCAATAAGCTATAGTTGTTCTGGTGACTATAGTGTCCCTTTAATGATAACTCGTTGTACTCTATCCTTAAGCCAATGTTCTGCCCAAGAACAAGAATATTCATCTAGACCAATTTCTTTTAGTTTGAAGACTAACCTATTGTGAGGAACCATATCAAATGCCTTGGCAAAAAAACAAGTAGATCACATTCACTGCAACAATGAAAGCAAGCCCCTCTCCCGCCCCCCAACTGAATCAGGCTCCGCCCATACTCCTCCCAGACAGACGTCCACTGAAGAGACCTAATGCGCATGCGCAGCAATGGCCGTGCGCAAGTATTAGACCTCCCTATAGGAAAGCATTATTCAATGCTTTCCTGTGGGGATTCAGGTGACGCTGGAGGTCCTCATGCATAGTGTAAGGACGTCCAGCGTCGTTTAGATGACCAAAAGTCGTCTAAGAAGCAGGAAGTCACTCTAGTGGTAGACAGCCACTAGAGGAGGACTTAACTCTGCAAGTTAATTATTCCAGTTTATAAAAACTGCAATAATTACACTTGCAGAGTTATCGGTGATAGGAGTGGGCACCCAGACCACTTCAATAGTCTGAAGTGGTCTGGGTGCTTACAGTGTCCCTTTTAACTGCTGTAGCATTTTGTTTTGAGTTATCCAATCACAAGTTATCTGCAAGTTTTTTGCAGCAATCAATTGCATATCTCTTGCCATAGGATCCTCATTAATACATACTAAAGAAAAATTGTTATTTAAAATTTCTGCCTTGTCCTGTTTTAGACAGGTCCCTCAAATTGCAATCAATAAAATTGCTTAAAGGGACTCTCCAGTGCCAGGAAAACATATCAGTTTTAGGCCCCTGCAGTGCCCCTCTCTCTCCCACCCCCCATCCAATGTTGCTGAAGGGGCTAAAACCCCTTCAGTGACTTACCTGAATCCCACGCCGATGTCTCTCTGTGCTGGGTCAGGCTCTGCCCACGCTCCTCCCCCACCAACGTCAGCCGGCGGGGGGAGACCTAATGCGCATGCGCGGCTATGTCCGCGCGCACACATTATTCCTCCCCATAGAAAAGCATTATTCAATGCTTTTCTATGGGGATTCCAAACGACGCTGGATGTCCTCATGCATAGCGTGAGGACGTCCAGTGTCGTTTAAAACTCTTTTTGTGTTAAAAACTGCAATAATTACATTTGCAGGGTTAAGGGTGGTGGGAGTTGGCAGCCAGACCACTCCAATGGGCAGAAGTGGTTTGGGTGCCTGGAGTTTAAATATAACATAAATATGCACATATAATTTAAATATATACATATTTAAATATCTGAAGTCTACATGTATATTTATGAAATTATTTATGTAATTATGTATATGGATATATTTATATTTTGTATTATTTTTATTTATTTATATATAAATAAAGATATATACTTTCATTCTAAGTGTGTTTTTATATGAATATATATATATATTCATATCAAAATACACTTAGAATAAATATATATAAAGTTTTAATGTATTATTTATTTTTATTTACTTATTTATATTTTATAATTTATATATATATATATAGTTATTGTATATATGACATGTGTGTAATTTAATTCTAAGTGTATTTTTATATTAATATATATTTACATATATTAATATAAAAATACACTTAGTGGCCATGTGAGCAATTTGCCAAGGGGGGACTGTCTGGGCTCTCAGGCAGTCCCCCCAAACCGGTAGCAACACCAATCCTGTCAGTGGCGTGGACGGTGGGGTCGTTCTTTGCTGCCCGACGTCGTTTAAGCCCGGCTCCTTAAGGACGGCATAGAACGCCCGCCATCCTTAAGGGGTTAATATTCACATTCTGTCTTAAAAACTGGTATATGTTGTGTATGGGTACACTACAGGCAACCCAACCACTTAATCTCAATGAAGTGGTCTTAGTGCCATGTTCCTGTCATTTTAACCCTGCAGTGCAAAACATCGCAGTTCTGCGGGAACAGCAAGGTTTACATTGTAGGGATTAAATATCTCTAGTGGCTGTTACTCTGGCAGCCACTAGAGGAGATTCTGCTGAAATAGCCGAGTCAGACTGGTCCAATCTGACTGGCGCAGTGCTGCCCTTTGCCGCACATTTTCACAAGCCTCCCAGTGCTTTCCTATGGGAAATCATCAGTCTTGATGATCTCAGCCATGGAGTGGGATGGCTGCATGGAGACTTTCACTGTGAGCGGGAAAATGTAACTAAAACTGCTTTTTCTACAGGTGGAGGCTGGCAACTAAACTGCCAACCAGGCGCTATAGCATTTGTAATTATTATTATTTATAACGTGCCAACAAATGGGAATGGGAATACATGTTTGTATTCTTAACATTATAGTGCTCCTTGTTACAGCAGCACACAGCAAAATGCCAATAAATAAAGCTGCGTGTCTAACTGTCTATATATCTATATGGTCTGTATACAATAATGTATTTATTTTAGATTTCTAATATAATATCCTAATCCATCTATAAGTGAAATGGATCAGTTTATGCATTTCCTGCCTTCTTCAAAGACCAATGCTTGACTCTTCTGGTAGCGAAGGGGTTGTTGTGAGTATTTAGAAACTGTATTCCATCTGGGTTTAATAAAGTAAGGGGAACTGAGTGCTGAGATGTGGCAGTGTTCCCTCCCACAATAAAGATTGTCTAAGCATTCCAAAGCTCTGAGTTGGAACTAGAGCAGGAGAACTGAACTGTTGCAGCACAGTCCAGCACAAGACGTTTTTAACAGTCATTAAGAGAACCATATTCTGCAATAAAAAAACCTTTGGAAACTGGCTCTGCGAACGCCAAAGATGGCTGGGATTGTAGCCTGCGTCTTCCTTTCTTTTGTCACCCTAATCAATGCCCAGGCTCAGACCGCTTTCCTGGAGTACATACAAGGAAGGATGGGAGTTTTGGAGGTAAGAGGAACAAAGTTGCAAGGATCTGTCACGATCCTGGCAATAAATAAACTAGTAGCAATCCCTGGTTTCTGGGGAATTGTAATATGTAGTAATGCATGTATGTCTGATTTAAAAAAAAAAACAGGTATCTGCTACGTTCATCCCTATAGTAAGAAATGGTGCTTCCATTGCATTGTGCAATGCGAGTGTTAACCATGGAGCTGCATCCTCTGATTATTATATAGAAAGTGGAAAATTTATAAACTATTGGCTGACAAATTTGAATTAGCATGGGAGAGATTCATCAAATTATCTGTTTTGTGAGGGGTTCCAATTTATTAATGTATGTTAAATATAGTTTTGCCTTTATTTTTGCTTTGCATATTCTGATGGCTTTAAATATCCCATTCTGATAGCCCATTCAATGCCATGTGTGTGTGTGTTTGTGTGTGTGTCCGTCTGTTTGTCTGTCTTTCTACCTATCTTTTTAGCCTCCCTTATTTTGCCAATTATATAGCACATAGACGGCATAAAATATGGCACCTATTATTATCCAGAGGTTTATTACAAAGTTTATTTTAAAAAAACGAAAAACACCATAAAACATATCTTTATGCCCATACGAAGACAGACACCTCACTGCAGACGAATCTTCCCCTGTTGAAGTTGTCAATCTTGATGACATTTGTCCAGTCTGATGTTTCTCATAGAGAAAATTGTGTGCCAGTCATTGTAATCTCCAAATCTAGTGATTCTCTCCAGCCATCCAGTGATCGTCAAATAGATTAAACTGGCACTTTTATGATACATTGAGGTCTGCTGACTCCATGTGAATTTACGTTAAAGGGCACCAAAACCTCTACAACTTAGTATTGGCAATGAGCACTGGGGGCCGGTTAGTCAGCACTTTCCGCAATGCGTGCCCCCTCCCCCTTCCGAAAAAAACCCAAAACAATCAGGTGTAGCTTACTAGTTTTTTCAATTAACCCAACCTCAACAGAACCGTTTGTGACGGTGTCTGGTCACCTATATTTATACACGACACATGGATACCAAGTCGCTTTGCAAATTTATTTTGCTCATGAAACTCACCTTCATTATTGTATACATTAACATTATTGTCCTCAATTATTAATGTGCTGTTCCTTCATCGATCAAACTCTATTTGCCTAACTTTAAGTATTTCCATTCTACTCATTTGTTGTGCTTCTCCAGGATCCTTCAAAGATTTGTTTTAGTTTAGAAATCATTTCCTTCCTATCACCTGCTTTATCATTCTTTCCTATTGGTGCTTTGTTCCTTTTCCTCTATTCATACCTCTCTGTACATGCAATGAGAGGTCTGTTTGGAGTACTGGTCCGTGGGAGGAGAAGAGTGGAGCAGTCATTCTTCAAAAGTTGTTCTATAATGGCTTCTTATCAACCAGCCCAGAGGCCTGAGGGAAAAATGCGTCACATTGTATTCATCAATGACCAGTGCAATGAGATTGAACATACAAAAAGATTTAAAATATGTCTACACATTATATGGGTGACTGCATTTGAAAACCATCGCCTAATAAGAGGGTAATAAAGACAGAAAAAAGATCAGAAGGGAGTCAAACAGCCTCCCCTGGTGTCCATGATAATTTGCCTACATTTAGTACTTTAGACCATTTTTTTTAACAGAACACTTTCATTAATTTCCTACTTTTTTATTATTATTCCTCAAGTTAAGTGCCTGCCAGACAGATAAACTTTTAAAAAGCAGTCCAACCAAAGTTGACTGTATGGTAACCCTGACTTTAAGGAACACTATAGTGTTAGAAATACAAAACAGTATTCAAAACACTATAGTGTACCTCTGCCCCCACGCACATGGTGAATAAACGGTTTAAAAAAAACCTCCTCCAAAGTCAGCAATGGGGGGAACCTAAAGTGCATGAATCGATGCTTTGAAGACGCTAGACATCCTCATGCAAAGTGTGAAACACCAGGAGGCGCCTCTAGTGGCTCTCTGGTAGTCAGCCACTAGAGGCAGACTTAACCCTGCAATGTAAACATTGCAGTTTCTCTAAATATAGGTGGCGTCACTAGTTTATATGTCATGTCACTTTCAAGATCTCCCATAGAGCACTGCATCCTGTTCTGGAAACACGGCTGTAAGAAACACAATAATGTTAGAGCCTGGTTATAATTCGGAGATGTGCCTTTAAGACAGAGCAGAGATGGGGAAACTGCATGGCTTGGGGGTAACATTAAAACATAACGTTTATTTTTACAGAAAAGCTACTGTATATAAAACAGATTTCCATTACTACTGGAAGGGGCAAAATATCACAAAGATAAGCCTGGTCTGTTTGTACTTTTTAGACTTTAGGGCATTGGCAGAATAGATGAATGGATGGAACGACTGGTTTCTACTTACAAATCTATGTTGTATACAATTTACGCAAGGAACACTGTCTTAATATAAAACAACTTCTAGGCCTCAAGACAAAGTTATTCGAACATTCTCAACTCAGAAACATCTCACAGCACATTCACACAATGTTTATTGCATCAGTCCAGTAAGAGAATATTGCCCTCTAGCATAACAAAATAGGAAAATTTTAACCTCATAGCTCATGCGGTTGAGCTTAAAGTACAGTGTCATTAAACCATTATGATGTGTTGGCATTTAGTTAGTAAAATATACATCTGCCTCCCAAATGACTTGCAAACGTGCAGTTTGCATGCTATTAAACATTTGGGTTGTTTTCATCAGAAAAACAACAGAATACACATTTTACCTGTTCAGTTCTTTTTACACTTGCTGGCATGATTCATAAAGTCACTGTCTAACTGCTATGGGTGCTGGTGCCGTGGACAGAATCAGAGAGGTGCCTTCTTTAAGGGTCCACCATGCTGCTGTTGCTCCTACTTGGTCAGCATTTGGCAGTTGTAGGTTCCCCAAGAGTGGATTCCATGGTAGCCACAGCTCTGTGTAATTGCTGAACTTGTTGGGTAAGCCCCTCCACTTGGATCGCGTTGACTTGCAACCTATCTTCCCATGCTCTCTGTCTCTCCTCTACCCCCTTGATCTTCTGGGTTACAATGCCCAGCACAAGTCTAGGAGCAGCCTATTGATATCCCTTTTTGTTGCGTGTGTAGAGTCTTCATCAGACTCTGTCTCTTGGCCATCTTCACTGTGGTGGGGAAAAAGCATGAGACTCCACTTCCGAGTTTTCCACTGTGTCGTGCTGCGGGGTCTCTCATGGTGTAGACTTCTCAAAAGAGATCAAGGATACACCTCCTATAAGGAGGGGTGTGTGTGTAACAATAAAAGGTGCTAAAACGTGAATAAAATAGGAGCAGCTCTATACACTTATGTGGAAATATTCTCTTATCCACAAAGGAGAGTCTAATGTCAACTTTTGACTTTCAGGTACCTGAAATCTCTTGATCTTGCAGCCCCATGTTGTCATCTGGTGTGGGCAGTAAAATAGATTTCTCTGTGGAGTGTTTTAGGTGGGATAAAACTATTACATTTTTTTTACGGTGCTGGTACGGAACTCCACAGGAACATGTCTGTTAAGTCTCATAGTCAGCCACGCCACCACATAAGTATTTTTTTTAGTTTTCCCTATACAGGGAGTGCAGAATTATTAGGCAAGTTGTATTTTTGAGGATTAATTTTATTATTGAACAACAACCATGTTCTCAATGAACCAAAAAAACTCATTAATATCAAAGCTGAATATTTTTGGAAGTAGTTTTTAGTTTGTTTTTAGTTATAGCTATGTTAGGGGGATATCTGTGTGTGCAGGTGACTATTACTGTGCATAATTATTAGGCAACTTAACAAAAAACAAATATATACCCATTTCAATTATTTATTATTACCAGTGAAACCAATATAACATCTCAACATTCACAAATATACATTTCTGACATTCAAAAACAAAACAAATCAGTGACCAATATAGCCACCTTTCTTTGCAAGGACACTCAAAAGCCTGCCATCCATGGATTCTGTCAGTGTTTTGATCTGTTCACCATCAACATTGCGTGCAGCAGCAACCACAGCCTCCCAGACACTGTTCAGAGAGGTGTACTGTTTTCCCTCCTTGTAAATCTCACATTTGATGATGGACCACAGGTTCTCAATGGGGTTCAGATCAGGTGAACAAGGAGGCCATGTCATTAGATTTTCTTCTTTTATACCCTTTCTTGCCAGCCACGCTGTGGAGTACTTGGACGCGTGTGATGGAGCATTGTCCTGCATGAAAATCATGTTTTTCTTGAAGGATGCAGACTTCTTCCTGTACCACTGCTTGAAGAAGGTGTCTTCCAGGAACTGGCAGTAGGACTGGGAGTTGAGCTTGACTCCATCCTCAACCCGAAAAGGCCCCACAAGCTCATCTTTGATGATACCAGCCCAAACCAGTACTCCACCTCCACCTTGCTGGCGTCTGAGTCGGACTGGAGCTCTCTGCCCTTTACCAATCCAGCCACGGGCCCATCCATCTGGCCCATCAAGACTCACTCATTTCATCAGTCCATAAAACCTTAGAAAAATCAGTCTTGAGATATTTCTTGGCCCAGTCTTGACGTTTCAGCTTGTGTGTCTTGTTCAGTGGTGGTCGTCTTTCAGCCTTTCTTACCTTGGCCATGTCTCTGAGTATTGCACACCTTGTGCTTTTGGGCACTCCAGTGATGTTGCAGCTCTGAAATATGGCCAAACTGGTGGCAAGTGGCATCGTGGCAGCTGCACACTTGACTTTTCTCAGTTCATGGGCAGTTATTTTGCGCCTTGGTTTTTCCACACGCTTCTTGCGACCCTGTTGACTATTTTGAATGAAACGCTTGATTGTTCGATGATCACGCTTCAGAAGCTTTGCAATTTTAAGAGTGCTGCATCCCTCTGCAAGATATCTCACTATTTTTGACTTTTCTGAGCCTGTCAAGTCCTTCTTTTGACCCATTTTGCCAAAGGAAAGGAAGTTGCCTAATAATTATGCACACCTGATATAGGGTGTTGATGTCATTAGACCACACCCCTTCTCATTACAGAGATGCACATCACCTAATATGCTTAATTGGTAGTAGGCTTTCGAGCCTATACAGCTTGGAGTAAGACAACATGCATAAAGAGGATGATGTGGTCAAAATACTCATTTGCCTAATAATTCTGCACTCCCTGTACATGTAGCTTAACATATCAGCATTTGCCTAGTTCAATTCATTTAATTTGTATTGGGGGTATGAGTGTTCCTTTACATAGCATATTAATTAAGTGGTACACCACAAATAACGAGTTTTGTGACACCGGGGTGCCAAATAAAGACTGTTGCTCTTAATCAGAATTTTAGAGGTACACAAACAGTTTTAACTCGGGATTATACTATAAATAAACTATTTTAGTTCTCAAAACCACAGTATGTAGATTTCTTTCCATTAGCCTGCAGATCTCTTGCCCTTAAAGGGACACTCAAAGCACCAAATACAACTTTAGATTTTTGAAATTTCTTTTGTGTATAGATTATGCCCATGCAGTCTCACGGCTCATTTATCTGACGTTTAGTAGTTAAAGGGACAATATAGGCACCCAGACCACTCCATCTCATTGAAGTTATCTGTGTGCAGTGCCCCTTTCCCCTTATGCCTGCAACTGTAATTATTAAAAGAAAAACAAAGGATTGGTGCTGTTGAACCAAACAAAAAGAAAAGGCAGCACATCTACACCTAAAGGGATGGGACTTCCTCACAAACCCCAAAAGGAGAGGGATACTAAAATGAATACAATTTTTTTTTTATCACAATAAAAAATATTCCCAGTAAAGATTAATACTAAAGAATAAAAAAACAATAAGTAACTAAAAAAAAGGAAGCATTAAAAATGTCCAAAGTAATGTGCAACTTGCAAGGAAACAGACATATCCTGTGGGAAAGTATCTTCTTCTTGGAAGTACCAGTGGGTCATATAGTGCTAGAAATACAACTTGTATTTCTAGCACTATACTTAGTTTCCCTTTAAATCATTTTCTACGCAGCTGTAGCCACACCTCCCTGCATGTAATGTGCACAGCCTTCTTAAACACTTCCCGTAAAGAGAGATCTAATTTTTATACTTCCTAAATTGTAAAGCAATTGTCTCCTGCTCTGATAATAGCCTGCAGGATCCTCATGTGTATCATAAAAGTTAAATTAAGAGAGCAAGTGATTTCAAAAAACTCTAAAGTAAACACACTGTGCTGTAAGATCTGATAAAATATATGACCATTATTTTTGTATGTTGGCTGTGTGCCAAAAGCACGGGAAGGTGTAACTAGGGCTGCTTAAACAGAAAGAAAGTGGTTTAACTACAAAATGGCAGAGAATTGTGCAAGGAGACTGTGGGGTATGATCTATACAACAAAAATAAACTAAAGTTGTTTTGGTGCTTAGAGTATCCCTTTAATCCCTTCAGTCTCAAATTATTTTACCCTCCGCACTTTGGGTATTGTAACTTCGGTCCAATCTACAAGTCTCTTACCTTCCCATAAATGTTTTTTTTTTTTTTTTATCAGCACCACTCTCAATTGCATACTTTTCAGGCACAGGAGGTTGACAAGTGCAAAGTCTCTGTCTTCCAGACCAATATAATACAAAAGTCGATTGTGGTATACCGGAACCGACAGTGCTGTAGGCCTGCAATAAAAGAGGTCCCACCCTATATAAAGATATGAGAAAAGAGTGTGGTGGGGAGGGCAAATCACCAAATCTGAAACGGTAGTGAGGAGAGGTCTGGCGTCCCTTAAGAAGGGAAACCAAGCCCCTCCCACAACTACAGGCCCAAATTTACATATATATATTTCAAGTAGAGATTGTAGCCGCATTCGTCCAGTGATGCAGATGTAAAAAACAGATGGCATTTGTATCTTGTAATACCTTTTTAATTGGATTAACAGAATTTTGTAATGACAAGCTCTCAGGAGTACCTCCCTTTCTTAAGTCTAAAGCTTTTCTTAGCAAAGACGACACATAGAATTCAAAGTTGCGTTGTGATACAGGGGTTAAATTGACATGAGTGCAGATAAGACACAGGTTTGATAGAAAATAGATACCATTCTCACAGAGGGTCGTAAATATCCTGTTTTTTTTTTTTCTCTCTCCCCCCTTACTCTGTGCCACTTGGCTCCTCCTTGTCACACAATATATTTACGACTCTTTGCATGCTTACTGGAAATAAGCATATGAGTGTCACTCAAAATAGATATTCAAGGTCAGTATTCCTCTGTGCTTAATATAAATGCATTTATACCATAACATGCAAGGTACGTACTTGAGAGTGTGGGTGTTTGTCTGTGAGTGTCCATGAACATGTAGATCGCTCACAACACTGTGTTCTATATCTGATTGCATATACTGCTTACAGGACAGAATTGCTCAATGGCACGACCAGAGCTCTCGATACAGCTCAGAACTTCGAGAATTCAAGAACCAGGTGCTGAAACTGCTGGAGAACATAGAAAAAGAGCGGGATGGTCTGAGGAACGAGATGGAGAATACAAATATCCGTGTGGATCGGTTGGAGAGAGAGGTAGACTACATAGAGACCCAAAACCCAGCACCTTCATGCGTGGAGGTTGATGAAAAATTGACCGAGCTCCACATTGAGAAAAAGAAGAAGAATGAAAAATATGCAAAACTGATAGGTAACTTGTTTGTTTTACTTGTTACTTTTTTTGCATCAAGCTGCATCACTAGTACAAAAACCACATCTCGCTTTTTTACTGCTTACTGGAGCCCTCCAAGCACCATAAGCAGTACAGCCCTCTTGTGGTTATGGTGCTAGCAGTGCAGTGGCACCCTCACAGAGTAAGTTGTCAAATCATTTAAGACTGGTTCAGAAAGCTCTGCACTGAGATAAGCCTGGCAGTGCAGGATAGTGCTCATTGGTTGAGATCTGTTAGCTGACAGTCTGCAGGGTTTAAAAGGACACTATAGGCACCCAGACCACTTCAGCTCATTGAAGTGGTCTGGGTGCATAATCACAGGCCCCTTAACCCTGCAAAGGTAATTATTGCAGTTTTTAATAAGGTGCAAAATGTACCTGTCAAGGTTTACTCCACCTCTGGTAGACAGCCACACGAGGGACTTCTGAGTCAGTAGGCAACTTTTGGTCGTCTAACTGATGCTGGGCATCCTCACGCTATGCATGAGGACATCCAGCATCACCCAAAACCCCACAGGAAAGCTTTGTATAATGCTTTCCTATTTGGAAGTACTAATATGAGCTCAGCCATTGCTGCGCCTGCACATTAGGTCCCCCCGCCTGCTGACGTCAGCAAGGGAGGAGCGGAGGCAGAGCCCGAGCCATAATAGGGGGACTTGATGGAGAGGGGAACTATAGGGAGATACTATGTTTGTTTTCCTTGCACTAGGAGGAAAAGGGTGTATCCAATGTAACTTGTTGGTTGTGCTTGGAGTGTTCCTTTAAACTGATAAAAAAAAAAAAAAAATTCTGATTGCTGTATAAAATGTTTTGCAAGCATTTTATATATGTGTAGGGTTGGTTAAAGTTACTTATTCTAGGTGGGGAATATTATTCATTTTTTAATATATTTTTTGTTCAATAGGTCCCGTCTTTCTGCCCTTTTCTTCCAACCTGACTTACTTCACCTTGCTGCGCCAGGAATACAGTTGTACGTGGTGCACAGCAAAGGTTTCACGGGCTTGTAGTTAAAGGCAATTTAAATAGTTAGCATTCTATCATAGAAAACTGACAACTGTGCTACAATTTCCATAAATCTCTGAGATAACCATAAAGTACTTCTGTGCAGGGATATCCGAGACAGGCTCATCACTTTGCTTTAAAAAAAATATTGGAGGAATGTGGCAATCTCTTTAGTAACTCATTTAGGCATTTCTAAATTGTATCTCTCTATGCAAAACAACATGATAGATATCCACCCATATTCTACCCATATTAGAAAAAACACTTGACTCGCGTGTTGGATGTTTTAGCACAAAGCCAGTTTAATACAATTACAATACAACATTACAATCCTTTGTTGGCGGGGCCTGCGCAAGGATTTATTCATCCGAGGCAAAGAAAAAAAATCTAGTATGTTCCCCCATGTGTTTTTACCTTTAGTCTCAGGCTATTCCCATTTTCTTGCTATTTCTTTGCTTGTCTCTTTCCCTTCTTCATTAGTCTTATTTCATGCTAGCTAACTGTACATGGGCGATGCAATTTGTGTTTGCTGCCATGGGTGTGGAGCTGCTTGTGGTTTTGTTGTGTGTGGTGAGTGGAGGGAGGCTGTATGTGTTTATGTGCATAGAAGCTACTTATATTGTGTGTGGAGAGGCTTCATATGTTGTTTGTGGGTGCTGTATGTGTTTTATGTGGGGGTGCTGCCTGTGAAGTTGCTGCATATGCTGTGTGTGGTAGGCTGTGTTGTCTTTGTGGGAAGCTGCCTGTTTTCTGTATTGTGTTTTTGGCTGTGTGTGTTGTGTGAGAATTTCGTTTTTGTCTGTGTGTGTTGTGTGTGAAGGCTCCGTGTGAGGTTGCTGTGTATGTGAGGTTAGGCTATGTGTGCGATGTCTATATGTCTTGAATGTGAAGAGTGACCGTTTGCTCTGCAATGTTTGAGGAGGCTGCATGTGTGTTGTGTCGGTGAGTTGATTGCTTGTGTGGGGGTTGACTTGTTTGTGTGTTGTGTATGTGATGTGAGTTGTGTGTGTGTGGGGAGGCTGTGTTTGTTGTTTTAAATCTCCCCACATATTACAATATTAGTTTAAAAAAAAAAAATTGCACCCATCCTTATTAACTTTGTGTAAGGAGTGGATCCGTGAACCCTGGTGGTCATGTGGAAGTAGTGATCCTTCTTCTTGTAGTTTGGTTGGCATTGCTTGTGATCTGTACCTCCTGTGGGTGCAGATCACTGTAGACAGTCCGTGTCATGGGGGATCACTGATAGTGATATGCACTCACTGAAGGTCGAGGAGCCAAGTGCAATGATATTGCTAATATGTGACAAATGTGTCATTAACCTATTATGTTCCATATGGACATTGCAGTGTATGTGTATATTTCTCTAAGGCAATTAAAAGAAGACATTCCAGTGCACATAGGCATTTGTTGTGTTATTGATACTGCCATGTTACTTTGTAGTTAAAGTGCTTATTTGTTCTTTAATTGGTATAATTCACAAGGAATTGTTAATGTTGCCTTCAAATGTCATCAAATCAGGCGGTATGGTGTTTGTTCTGCTCATGCCTAAACATTTATAAATATTTTGAAATATTGGTTAATTGTTAGAAAACTTTTTCTTTTTAGGTGTTTAATTTGCAAAGTGTCTATTAAATAATAGGTAATTTATCAAGATTGTTATCACCAAAAATTTACTTTGCAATATAATGTATAGGGCTGTTTTTCACTGATTTCATATTGGTAAAAGTATTATCAACTAGTGGGATTGTGATTAATACACATAAGTTCTCTGTGTCACTGAGCCTGTCACACACACACACAAGCTCACTACAGACAAGCTCACTGACACACACAAACTCACTACAGACAAGCCCACTGACACACATGTGCCTCATTTTTACTTTCATTGCTCAAAAAAAAACAACATTTTATTGAAATGTCAACTGTAGGATTCAGATACTTTTGGCTCTGGTGGCCACCTTTTGGCTCTTGTGGCTCTTTGTATTTTATTAAATTACTTTGCACCTATCAATTTGGACTTTAGTATTGATCAGTTTTCCGCTATGTAAAGTTTTACATAAGAAGTCATTCTTATTTTAAATCAAATTCTCCTGAATTAAAAAAAAAAGGTAAATGTATAATTTGTGCCCTACAATGTTATATTGGAATAAGTACAAAATATTGTTACATCATATCAAGTTTGACATATATTTCCAATATAAAAGTCCAAATATTTTTCAAAACATAAAATGTTACAGATGTGACTTGCATATGCTTTTACGCTGTATAAAGGTCATGGGGTTAGTTAGTGGAACCTACTTTTCATGTTGCAATAGGTTGCCCAACGGCTGGTACTCCAGGAATTTCGGAAATCGATGAGATGCTGGACCATCCTCCTAACATCCGGAAATCATGTAAGTAGGTTCCATTAATTCAGGGCTAGGCAACTGTGTCCCACATGCTGATACTTGTCTACAGTTAACATGAGACATCATGGTAATGAGAATTAAAGTCCAACTTGAGTTGGTGGAGCACATTTGTCTGTCCCTGCATTTACCCTTATATATCTATTAAATATGAACCCAATGCTAAATATTACATTGTGTCTCCAAATACAGTAGATTTGAAGGATATACATCATAATATTTATTGTTTTATGGCTTAGTGGGTAAAAAGATATATTATGTATAAATTGTACACTGTCCTTAGTTTAAAAAAAGTCAATGTGTTTTGAAGCCTGATCTGAAATCTCACTTACCACTAACTTTATGAATAAACCCTGCACTGAAAGATCTAAGTGATCATTAAAGGTTTCTATAACATGTTTAGGCAACCTTTAGTTAGGGTATCTGTTATAGGATTGTGGCATTGTTGGCTCTCTCACGTAGACAAACTAAGAAAATAACATAGACATAAAACAAATAATTTTAAGAAGTGAATTATTTGATCTTTAAAGAAAGCAAATTAGCAACCAAATATAAATCTATTGTCTTGCTTTTTCTGTTTTATTGTTTTCTAGACTGCAGTGACACTATATCACAAGTTAATGCTATGAAAATACTGAAGCGTTTCGGAACAACCGCCGGTCTTTGGACGAAGGACCCTATTGGGAATTCAGAAAAGATCTATGTTTTCGATGGAGCTGGTAATGACACGTTATATATTTTCAACCGCATGAAAGAATTCACCTTGTCCTCTTCCACACGGAAAGCAAGTAAAATCAAACTACCATTCCCTTGGATTGGCACTGGACATGTAGTTTATGGTGGCAACCTGTTCTACATCCGACAAGGTGATGAATTTCAACTTATCAAGTTCAATTTGGTCAACAAAACTGTGGTTGACAGTGCCGTGCTCCCAATAGAAGAACAAGTGCCGGTATATGGTCTATCTAAATTTAATTATATAGATATAGTTGCAGATGAAGAAGGGCTTTGGGCTATATATGCCACAAAGGAGAATGAGAAGAACATCTGTTTAGCCAAACTGGATCCAAACAGTCTCGGGATTGAGCAAATGTGGGATACTCCCTGTCCAATAGAAAATGCTGAAAGTGCTTTTGTGGTCTGTGGTTCACTATATGTAGTGTACAATACCAAGCTCCCAAGTCGTTCTCGCATTCAATGTGTCTTTGATGTTAGTGGCACCATATCCAGTGAAAATGTCCCCATTGTTTACTTTCCGAAGAGGTATGGAGCCCATTCAAGCATGAAATATAACCCTAAAGAGAAACAAATCTATGCCTGGGATGATGGTTATCAAATCTTATACAAGTTAAGCATGAAACCCAAAGAAGACCTGTATTAGATGGAGTTGGAGTTGGAGTTTTTTTATTTTATTTTTATCATTGATCCGCTTCCATTTATTTAAGAATGTTAAAGCATTATATCCTTTAGTATTGGGTAACACACATAGCTTTATGTATTTGATATTGAAAAACTAGTGGATGATACTTCCTCCCTATTCACGTAATACGAGAAATGGTATTAATTATATATAAAGCCACTGGTTTGTGTGTGTGCTACCCTTTACGCATAAATACAACACGAAAAAAGGATTGAGAACTCCGCGAAGGTGTATATAGCTATATAAAAAAGCCCCAGATAGTCAACGCCGTGATTTAATAAAGAAAAGTGCATTGGAATGTGCACAGAATGTTGTAACAGGATACAACAGCATAAACGTTGTAAAAACCATCAAGTGTTGCTCAAGAAGTGAGTTATTCAGATGAAATGCAGACTCTGTAACCTTGATTATGCCCATCATCAATTTGAAAGCTCTATGGCCCATCCCTTAAAATACAAATATTGTAATTCTGATCTAATACAAACATTTTCACGTCAATCAGTTTTTAAAAATAAAAAAACCGCAAGTTGAACGGATTAATATTTTTTCCCAAACATTTCCATGTATCAAAACATACTTAGAAGTCACACATGTAGGAAATTTAGTTACTATATGATGTTCCTAAAATAATTATTCTATAATGTGTTGTACCATTTGTAAGAGGCTTTTGTGTTGCTTAAAATGGATGAGTGTCCATGTGGTATATTTTAGATAAGGACACTCATGCAAACTTGTCCTAGACTTGCACTGATACATGTTCAGTAAGAAATAATACTAAAGAGTGGAGCAGTATGTTATGTGAAGTGGCTATTCAGATAATAAGCCCTTGATATGATAATACTTAGTATCCAGTAGATGGTTTCCCAATGTTGAATTCAGCACATGAAAAAAATATATAAAAAGCTTTTACGTCCTAAGGAAGCTGGTGGAACCGGCGAAACGTGTAGGGGCGGAGACTGCAGCGGCTCGGAGAACCACGCTGATTCCCAGGCTGATTGTGTCTACAACACTCCAGGAAGCCAGAGTCTCCAGCTACCTCATTTATACAAGCCGGACAGTGAGTAGCGGCGTATGCCGTGTCAAACTCACAACTCTCTCCTGTAAGAGTCAGTTATTCTAGTATATATTGTATGATTTTAATCTATGTGAAACATAGGTTGTGATTAAATCTTTTGCATTTTATGATTGTTTGACTTCATCTGCACAATCTATATATTTCTTTAACCCTTAATTTGGGTAAAACTGTGGGAATATTATCAGAGTTTTTTTTCAGTCTACACTATTATGTGTTTTTTATATATTTTTTTATGTGCTGAATACAACATTGGGAAACCATCTACTGGATACGAAGTATTATCTTGCACAAATTCCATATCAAGGGCTTATTATCTAAATAGCGACTTATCATGACATACTGCTCCACTCTTTACCATTATTTCTTACTGTATTTGTTATTTGTGTGTTTTAGGGTTTCACATTTAGAGTGTTGTCAGCACTGAGAAACAACCATACCAACTCTAAGCAGTATTTTATTTTATTTAAAAAAAAATCTACTTTTTCAAAAAGCACTCCAAAATTATCTAAGACTGATACGTGTTCAAGTGTACTGATCAACGTTTTCTTTTATAGTCAGTTCATTCAGTGAATTAGTAGTTAGAAGAACTTGGAGCGGTGGTTAAGAGTGGTTCTATGCTCTATACATAACATTACTGGGACAACATTTCAACTATACTGTCCCCTTAATAAAATGAGTTGCATTAAAGGACCACTATAGTGGCAGGAAAACATACTTGTTTTCCTGGCACTATAGTGCCCTGAGGGTGCCCCCACCCTCAGTGTCCCCCTCCCGCTGGGCTCTAGGAGGTAGACGGGGTTAAACTTACCTTTTCTCCAGCGCCGGGCGGGGGACTCTCCTCCTCCTTTACTCCTCCTCGGCTGAATGCGCATGCGTGGCAGGAGCCGCACGCGCATTCAGCCAGTCCGTAGGAAAGCATTCACAATGAAAATCACAGTGAGAAGCGCGGAAGTACCTCTAGTGGCTGTCAATGAGACAGCCACCAGAGGCTGGATTAACCCTATTATAAACATAGCAGTTTCTCTGAAACTGCTATGTTTATAGAAAAATGGGTTAACCCTAGCTGGACCTGGCACCCAGACCACTTCATTAAGTTGAAGTGGTCTGGGTGCCTATAGTGGTCCTTTAATGTCATGGCTAATCAGGCTTGCAGTGTAAATTGTATTGGAAGGTGCTGGGGAGGGTTGCGTTCCTCAGGACAGTCACTTTCTTGACTCAAGAAACATCAAAATGATATATTTGCTTTTCCTTATCATTCCTTTTTTAGAGATTGTTTCCTATCTTCTATATACCTATTCAATATTACCTACACCCATCTTCCTTCAAATGTCTTTGTATTGAGTGAACTCATACACGGTTATTCACAAAAGTGCAACTTGCCAAGAATTCAACGTAAATTTCACATTTTAGCCACACTGGATTCAAAGCTGACTTGAAAGAAAATTCAGTTTGACTATTTGGGCCTAAAATTTGAAACTAGCTTTGAATTAGTGACAATTTAAGTAATTCTGTGCTAATGCTTATTACAAGGGTTTTTTTAAATATAACATTTCATGATTATGTTTAATTTGTTGTTAATAATAATATCCATTGCAAAAATTCTTATCGACATCTTAATATCAGTGATGAGTGTTTTTTGCTTTTTAAATCTAATGTTCTGACAGCTTTAGGTGATCCACTCTCTGCTAGCACTGCACCTAATAATTTCTATTATATTATAATAGAATTTACCTCTATTATGCCAATACAAGCTGTGAAAGGCAGGTCTGTGTGTGTATATAGAAGTTCTGCTGCTAAATTATATCTTTGCAGTTATTCCTCAAATGTCTGTGTTATCACCCTAAATTTAATGAACTGCTTTTATTATACAGTGTTTGTGAAAATTACCGCTGGCTGGCTTATGGTGGACTACAAATAAATTGTTTAACTCACATATAAAATTGAGCTGTGTTCTGATTATTATTATTATTATTATTAACCTCTTTTCAACACTGGTCAAAACTACATACATATAGATTTGTTTAAAAACATTCGACTAGTATGCACTATACATTCTTCCCAACAAAGTCTGACTAAAAGGAGTAGCACATAAGAGAAGGGTCATCTTTTTAGAATAGTTGGCTTTATTCAGGAGGTGTAAAGGAAATGACAATGGAATGTGCAGTTCTCTCTCTTGTGGGAATTATAGAAAAACGACAAGAGATTTGCACATCTGAGGCCAAAAAAAGACCAATTGGAAACATCCCACAACGCGACTTTTTAAATGTTTGGCAATTGCAGTCTATAATTTACAATTGTCTTGTCAATTCTCCAAAATCCCTGGGGTATGGAATAAACCCACTATATAGTAAAAACATTTTTTTTTTTTAAATAGACACTTATTTAGAATCTTTTTTTCTTTGTCATGTAAATTTGAGTATTTTGTGTTTGAGATATACTTTTAAATATAAATATATTACACTAGTGTGTTGCTTTATTTCTCTTTTATCGTGTCCTTTCATGCATAGAGCTAAGTTTCTACTACAAAACAAACATCCCTCATGTAACAGTGTGCAGAAGTTTATATTTAGATTGCTTCCAATTATTATACATTTTAATTAGAGATCACTTCAATTGAGCCATTGTTTTTGCCTTTGTACAAATCACAGTCATGATAAGGAAACATTGGTAGGTTCAGTACAAGTTAAAAAAACTGCCAACAAGTTCTTGTAAGGAACACTCTAGGAACACTGTAAGGAATTTAACATACCTCCTTTTTCGTGTGCTATGTTGTTACATAGAAGCATAGAAACATAGAATGTGACGGCAGATAAGAACCCTTCGGCCCATCTAGTCTGCCCAATTTTCTAAAAACTTTCATTAGTCCCTAGCCTTATCTTATAGTTAGGATAGCCTTATGCCTATCCCACGCATGCTTAAACTCCTTTACTGTGTTAACCTCTACCACTTCAGCTGGAAGGCTATTCCATGCATCCACTACCCTCTCAGTAAAGTAATACTTCCTGCTATTATTTTTAAACCTTTGTCCCTCTAATTTAAGACTATGTCCTCTTGTTGTGGTAGTTTTTCTTCTTTTAAATATAGTCTCCTCCTTTACTGTGTTGATTCCCTTTATATATTTAAATGTTTCTATCATATCCCCCCTGTCTCGTCTTTCCTCCAAGCTATACATGTTAAGATCCTTTAACCTTTCCTGGTAAGTTTTATCCCGCAATCCATGAACCAGTTTAGTAGCCCTTCTCTGAACCCTCTCTAAGGTATCAATATCCTTCTGAAGATACGGTCTCCAGTACTGTGTACAATACCTGTTGTCTATCAAAACATTATTGAAACACTGAAGTTGTTACAATGGCAAGTGCTCACATGTTTAGCATCGTTACATGGAACTCCGCTATTGATTACATTTTTGTGCAAATGCAATTATAAGTGCATTACTGTCTATTAACAAATCAATTTGTAGGTTTTTATAGACACTGCCACTGTATGTGCCCACCAGATCTTCACTGGTGTCACAACCTCAATTAACAAAGATGATCAGTCATGGGGACCTGATGAAAGAGCTGGTGAGTAGAAACATGAAATATTAGATCTTAGAACATTCTCAACATTATTGAAAAACCCAAATTATAGACTGTTCATGGTGGCTAGAGTTAAGATCCTAAAATTCCATTCATGTATCTAAAATCCCTTTTTTTTGTTCATGTGTGCTACAGCTGTTCAATTAGGAAAAAACGCTAGCCTTTAAAGCATTTCTCGCATGTGGTTTTAGTCAGCTAACTTGCACTTTGCAAGTTGGACACCATAATTTCCCAACCATGATTCCCAGGGAAGGGAAGTCCTTTCTTTGACAGATTCTACCTATCTCTTTGGTAATGTCTTTCTTTTCTACAATCTTTATTTGTCCCCAACTCCTTGCATATTTTTGCATGCTTTGTGAGGCATATAGGTTTATAATAACATTTCATGGGGAATTCAATAGTCCAAGACATAGCATAGTTGAAAATGTCATGAGAAAACATTGCACATTTTATAATACAGAATCAAGATGGTGTAACAAGGTTGGTTAATGGAAGATCTAAAGCTTTTCAGACTTGTGATATTTATATGCCTGTGCTGCTGGAGTTTTGTACATTGCTGACTAGCTGCACTGGATGAGATAGCAAGAAAGAGGGGAGACAAGGGTTAATACAGACTGTTAGTGGGAATTCTTTATGCCACCTATCTAGCCCACAACGTAATTTTCAATTAGCAATGTGACATCATGGAGGTATCGGAAACAAGGTAAGTGGGCAACAGGCATTAAAATAAGATTAAAGAAAAATAATAAAATGAAACAAACACTCAGGAGGTTCTGGAGTTACGCGTGGTATACAGGCACTATGCCAGAGGTGCAGTCCCGGTCACCATTTAGCCAATGCCCTGCATAGGTAAAGCAGAGTCTCTGCTTGGTAGGCTTTTCAGTAGGCTTTGAGGCACCGGAGAACAGTGGTTGGTCGTGGCTTAATCCCAGCAGGATCCACACGGACTAACCCTCTGCATTGCAAGCTTTTGGGAGGTCGATGTTGTGGGGGGGTATCCAGGGTAACTGCACTCCGCTGTGTTGCGGGATCCAGGGTAACTGCACTCCACTGTTTTCTTGTTGTGTCCAGCAGGTCGCTGGTGCTCCGCTCGGGTCAGGTCAGGGCAGGGGTGCACTGCGCGTAGTGGATGAGAGCTTGCTCTCGTGTTCTTGCTATAATGTACTCTTCTCTACCTTCTTCGGATCCATCTTGGGGCCAGAGCCCGTGCTGTCAGTTGGTGTTGTGCTGGAGATCTCCGGTGTGGGACTTGTGTCTCCTGCCGTGCAAGATACTGCTGTCATTGGGTCAGCTTCAGCCACAAGTTAGCGAGGAGGATATCTAGTCGAGACAGTAAGGGGTGCAAGGCATCCAACATTTTAGGGTAGGCACCCTCAGATCTGCCCGGCATCCACCTAGCTCGATCACGTAAGAGTAGGACCTCCAGAGGGGGGGGGCGGACGTTTATACCCCACAGGGACTCAGCGCCACCCGGTTCCGGCGATCAGCCGCCTCACCAGGCCAATGTGAGCACTAGGCCCCACCCGCGCCGCCGGGAATTGCAGGAGATTCCAGCCACGGGAATACACCAAAGGGCCCTGGACGGTGTCCAGGCTAGATAAGTCTAGGCAGTAGAGCATTTGAGGGTGATATCTGTCGATTAGGTGGCTCAAGGAGAAGTTCAGGCTTGGAGCTCAAGTGAAATGCGTCTAGTTGCCATATTACCGCCCCCCAAATATTCAGGTTTTGTCTGTATTAGGCACTCTGTAAGTTAGTCAGTAGCTGTTTTCAAGTCACTTATGAAATTACGGTTTTCCCTTTTTTTTCTGTTGAGTAGTATCTGTAATGGACCCTTCCGTTAATGGACGCTTCCTAGCTTGCGCCGAGGACCACAAGCACTGCACTGGACACCACAACCACCGCAGACTCCATAACCGCCGTAGCTTAACTGGAGCCTCGCTGTCTTCCGTCCACCCTGGATCAGCTTCTGTCCTTCAGGATCATGTGGGGAAAACCTCTCCTCCAGGAGAGCGTATCAGGAACAAGCTCTTAAAAGAGCTAAGTGATTCAAGCTCAGGGGAGTATACAGAGCATAGGAATCCCCAGTATGATTATAGCAGCTCCCTCCAATAACGAGACAAGGCTACGTATTGAGGGTCAAACAGGATCCGAGGTTTAATGACACACACTCTGCTTTTATGCAATTCTCCCCTGCAAGGGAGACACCCACAGACAATTATACAATACCCAATCACACAATGGTTACATCCCACACATCTCCTCCCCTTAGCCTGAGAGGTAACCCAATTATCCATACCTTTTAAAACATACTTTTTACCCAACTTTCATAACTCTAAAACCATACATCCAATATTAATAAAAGTCACATATTATTAAGCATTACAGCACATTACAAATACAAACATACCCAAAAATTATTTGAATCCGTTCAGGCGTTCGGGAGATACTTATAAGTCACTTTTGACCGACCGCAGGCACATTTTCATGCCCAAAACAGTTCCATGGATTTGGGCTGTGCGGTTGGTCTATTTTACACTGAGAAAATGACTAAGTCCCATTCCAACGAGCGTTCGAATCATCAACGGGACTTAGTCTCCAGCTGCAGTGTCGAAGTAGAGTAGAACATATGGGTCAGCGGTTTTTGTGCAATTGGGTAGCCGAAAACAGTTCCATAGATTTGGCTGCACACACCGCTGACCGCGTTCGAATTAGTTAAAATGGCCACCGCCACGTGTTCGGTATTCGAATGGTGGCCACTTCGACGACTTCAACACTTCGACTGCTTCGACTGCATCCGAAGTGCCAGTTTAAAAGTACAAATCCTTTCTTTGGGCATTAAAGGGTAGGAAACAGCAATATAAGCCTCCAGTATGCCCACATCAGTTCCTAGACGGGCAATACATCCCAGGGCCATAGTCGCAGGGCAGGAGGCAGGCAAGCAGACCTCTCCAGGACAAAGTGGCGAAGGGCACTTCGAAACAATATCATATATTCTAGTCTTTACTTGAGTTCACAAAGAAAGCAGGCTTTGGTATATAACTGAAATTAAATACACAGGAAGCAGACGTGTTTACGGATACATATAAAGCATTGCTCTCTTATTTGCTTGTATGTCAGCAAACGTAATAAGGTAAAGCCTCATTTGTCCCAGAACTGAATTTTACAACATGACAGGAGGCTTCATATTTGCATATCTTTTTTTTTACTGAAATCTCCAGCAGCATAGAAACAGAACAGGCAATCAGAAAAAAGTCAGAATGCATACAAAAGGCCCTGTCTATGACATCACTTCCTCTTTCTTTGCTGCTCCAGCCTACACAGGTCAGAGTATTTTGCCTCTCCTGTGTAACCTCATGTTTACAGACTATTTGTATTCGTTTTTTCTTTCATACTTTTTGCTAATATACTTCTGGCTCTCCTATACCTGTCCCTCCTAGACTTATACTGAGATCCGACAACGACGGCCGCATTCGCTCTTGCTTTACAGATCGAAAATCACTTGATCTGCACCTTTAGTGTTGCCTTTTCCTCAGGATTGCTACTCACTGTTAGAAATCTAACATCACCAAATATACTTATGATGAATGTATAACACTACCTGTCAGTTTTCCAATACATTTTCCCTCAAGATTGCCCTCACTATATCAAACAGCTCCATATACTGGTGATGAGTGTTTTACACTGCCTGTCAGTTCACATATATGAACTAATTACCAATCCAGAGATAAAGAAAAGATGAAGCCTTAGGGGTCAAGCAAA